TTGCAGGAAGTTTAGGTTTACAACCTAAGTGAGACTTTCTCTTTTCTAACCGGCTCTGTCTAGTCATAATCTTAGTACCAGCGTATCTAAGCATGTGGCTTATAAGGTTGGAAGGGAGAAGAACTAGTGAACTCTAGTTGTCTTATTTAGACTTCCATAATAAAAAGACCATTGACATACAAGTTGGGAATGGGGCTCACAGTCGTACTTACAGTACCTGAGAGGTCCAAGCAGAATTGCTACTGATTTGAAGCTAGCCTGAATTACATAATTTTAGGCCCACCTGGACTACAAAGTGAGTTTATCTAAGTGACCTTACCTAAAACCAAAATATGTTCCCAAACAACAACAACAAATTTAGTAAATAGCTATGACTCCCTTCTGGAGGCTGAAATGCCCAGGATCAGACATTGTCAGCTGTAGTCCCTGATGACTCCTTTCTCATGTGGCAGAGAGCAGAACAAGAAAAGAAACATTCTTCCCTGACTCTTTTTAGAAATTTTTTTATTTAAATGTTGACAATTTTATAGATGTATGGAGTATATTGTCAACATATTCATCCTGTTATCCTCTTGTCAAACAAACAAACAAACAAACAAACTATTCAAAACATAGCATCAGGAGAACCTCACCTGCTTTGTTAACGGCCATACACACTGAGGAAGAATTAACAAGAGAACCAGCTGTCTGTCTTCCCTAAGAAGTCAGGCCATGCTGGAAATTTGAGTCAAAACTACTCAATTAACAAGTAAAGGTGCTTGCTGCAGTGACTGAAAACCTGTTTGATGATGGGGACCCACATGGTAAAGAGAGAGCTGGTTACCAGAAGATATGCTCTGATTGTCACATACGTGCCACAACTCATACACATGAGTCAGTAAATAACTAATACATGAAAAGAAAAAGAAGACCTGTGTAGCACCTATCTTTTTATTATTGTTACTTTTATTTTTTTACAGTTCAGTATTTGCCCTCCCTCCCAGTCCGCCTTCCCACAGTTCCTCATCCCATTCCTACTCCCCTCTTGTCTCCAAGAGGATATCTCCCCCCGACCCCCACCAGACTTCCTCATTCACTTTGGGTCTCAAGTCTCTCGAGGGTTAGGTTCATCTTCTCCCACTGAGGCCAGAGCAGGAAGTCCTCTGTTGTATATGGCTGGGGGTTGAGGGGGAATTGTTGGGCCAGCTTGTGTATGCTGCCTGGTTGGTGGCCTAGTGTCTGACAGATCTCAGGTCCAGGTTAGTTGAGACTGCTGGTCTTCCTATGGGGTAGCTGGCTTCTTCAGCTTCTTCCAGTCTTTCCCTAATTCAACCACAGTTTGCGCACGTACACACACACACACTCACACACACACTCACACTCTCACACACACACACCCGGCACCACTTCAGTCCAATGGCTGGGTGTAAGTATAAGTATCTGTGTCTGTCTCAGTCAGCAGCTGATCTTTTTAACATAGTAACTCTAGCTGCCCCTCCCCCATTCATGTATTGAAAGCAATGTAATTTTGAGTTTTCTTTCAGAATTTTGGACTTACCCAGGCTTACTGACCCCTCTTACCTGTGGAGAGAACTAGGAAAGGAGTGTGTGCTGGAGGCATACTCTGAATAGGAGAAGAAACAAAGGCTGTTCTCCTCTTACAACCACAGTAAAGTGCCATCACCTTTGTGATGGGAAAAAGGACAGTGGGCAATTGTAACTGCTCCAGCTGTGCTAGCTCTGGTGCCTTGGTTCCAGGCCTGAAGCTCATCTTCTGAGCAACGTGATTTGGACTTATTAAGCCTTGTGACTGTCTCATAAATGTAGAAAACAGTTATGAGTTGGTATGTTTATTTCACCTCTAAGTTGACATAAAATCTGTAAATATTTTAAGTCTTATTTAATAGTGTTAGTATTTTTATTTGGAAGTCTGAGATCTTGTTCTTGAGGCTAACAATTTAATTAAGAAAAAAATAGTTTCCTTTTAGTGCTTCGTGTTCAAAGGCTTTAATTGTACAAAACAATAGCATAGAAGTGAGAACTATTTAGACTCACATTTTGAGTATATGTTTGTTTCAGAATCTCTGTAATTGTAATAAAATATTACTGTTTGCTTTTTTTTTTAAAAAAAAATCCTGTTCCCTGTCTTAATTACTGTTCTATTGCTATGAAGAGACACCACGACCAAGGCAGCTCTTATCAGAGAAAGCATTTAATTGGGGACTTGCCTATAGTTTCAGATGCTGGGTTCATCATCATGGCAGGAATGGTGCTGAGCAGTAGGCAAGAGCTTTCCATCCTGATCCATAGGCAGCAGGCATGGAGGGTGGGGTGGGCTGCAGACACTAGACTTTGTGTGGGATTTTGGAACCTCAAATCTCACATAGGCAGCTTTCCTCAGTACTTTTTCCAGCCAGAACATGCTTCCTAATGTAAGTCTCTGATGAGCCTTAGTTTACCGGGGACCCCCTGAGTGAACAACGCAGAGTAGGGAATCGTTGCAAAAGCAAGAGGAATTTTATTGTTCCAGCATGCTGTGGTCATCCTGCATCCAGAAGGAGAGGCAACCCTGTGTAGCTCGTTCATCAGACATTTATACAGTCTCCAGGGGTAGCATAGAGAAACAGCAGCTATGCACAATGTGATTGGCAGAACAATGTGACTTTTAAACTGATTGGTCTTTAGGGAATGAGGTGGCAGGGACTTCCCTTGTCTGTGGGTGACCAAGGGTCCGTCCTGTGATATGTGTCCATGTGCTCTGGGTCTCCCCTACCCACAGGCCAGGTCTGTCTTCTCCCCTGTTATCTGAGAAATGCTGATTAGTCTCTCTCTTGGGGGGGGCACACTTTCCTGAGCTGACCAGGACTGTTAATTAGCCTCTCTGTTCCTCAGCTGACCCCTTCACTAACCCCTTCACTAATCCTTTCCAAACAGTTCATCAACTGGGGGCTAATCATACAAATATATGACCTTATGGGGGCCTTTTTTATCCAAACCACCACATACCCCAAACAGAAACCTTAGTCATGGTGAGCTGGTTAGACCCATTGATCTGATAAGACTTACTGTCCCTTTAAAATAATTAAGAACTTAATTTAAAATATGAATCTAGTTAAACTTTGACGATATACTGAAGTTACTTACTGCCTCAGCCTTGTAGCTCTGCAGTTCCTTCCTTGAGCCGAATTTTCTTGAGGTTACTGATGTTTATCTCCCTGAGTGAAATGAGCCAGTTCAAACCAGATTAGGTTACACTAAATGGAGGTTTACTGGGAAGCTGCTCTTGGGCAAGTTTACTGGTCTGGACCAAGACCAGAGAAGTCACTATGGGAAGAGAAGGTGGGAAGAGAAAGAGAAAGGGCATTGGCATAGAGAGGAGAAAAGAAGAGAGAGAAGGAGAGCACTGGGAAACAAAGTGTCTAGATTATACAGGGAAGAACCTCTGGGGGAAGGGCAGCCCAGTTCCTGAGCTGGAGAGTTCAGGGTTGAGGACAGGATATGCCAGGGAGGGACTGAGGGATGCTGGGAGAACCTGGAGGCCAGATCTACTTTGGTATGTAAAATATGCACCTCAGTCCCTTGTCCCCAAGTCTGAAAGCAAACAGTTAGGTTTCAAAGTTTATTTATAAACACTTGACTTGTATACATCAAGTACAGTATAAATTTACTGTATGAAATTTGACTCATTCAATCCTCATTACAACTCTATGAGGTAGGTCTCTTTCTATTTTCTGTTAATTTTTAGACATTTTGAAAGATTTGTATGTCGAATACCCTTTATACTCACTGTCTGCATTCTGTACTTCTTATATCTGGCTTATGACATAGCTGTTTATGTTCATCCACCAGTCCACCGTAGCTTTCTAATGCTTTCAAAGTAGACTGTAGACACCAGTATGCTGTAGGCGTAGAGTTTGTGACTGTTGTTAATTGTCCACATCTTACATTACTGGGAACCGACATATGGAGAAATAACTTGTTGAAGGGTGCACAGCATTTAGGTGGTAGATCTAGTAGTTGGATCAAACATTCTTGATGACGTTTACAGAAAGCTAGTTTACATAATATCCATAGGCATTATTATAAAGAGTACTTTGTTCAATGAGTTTTAAGACTGCAGTATCTCAGCCTTAAAGTACAAGATCTGTGAGGTCCTGTGGGAAAGAAGCCATTTAACTCTGCTAAAGCCAACTGTTTTTTGCCACCAGAGTATCCCATTACCCACCCTTCTCCAGCCTTTTCACTTGTAATTGGGCAGGACTAGAACCCAGTGGAAATACTATGGGAAATGCTCACTTGAAACAGATTCTTCTTTTGCTTATTTAGGAGAGACTATGTTTTGAAGAGTGTGTATATTTAAGCCACCCCTAGAATTCTAGCGCTGGCCGGAGTCTTACAATTCTCTAGCTAATGCACTGACTTCAGAAGGGGGGCTGAGACAGTGCACATAGCTAGTGTTTATTAGCTCATGCCCATAATCTTAGTGGCACAAATGGAACTAGAATGTAGCCCAGGATCTAGCATGGTAGTTACACACTTAGTATTTGTTGCATAAATAATACTTGTCAGTCTATCCAGTTTTCACTATAAAACTACCTCTGTATTATAGTTTTTGTTTGTTTTAAGAAAAACTTCCTTCTTTTTCTTTTTTCTTTCTTTTTCTTTTTTGTCTTTCTTTTTTCTTTCTTTTCTTTTTTTTTGGGGGGGGGAGACAAGTTTTTTCTGTGTAGCCCTGTCTACACAGGAACTCACGCTGTAGATCAAGCTGGCCTCAAACTCAAACTCGAGATCCATCTGCGTTCCCCTCATCCCCCACCCTAAGTGCTGAATTTAAATGCTTGTGCCACCATCATCCAGTGGTTTTATTAAAATTAAGATACAAAATACAGCCGTACAATTTAATAAGTAATTATGAAGAAAAAGTCCAGGTTAAGAAACAGAACTTTCTGATACTCCCAAAGTCCCCAGTGACTCCTTTTGTTGCCAACCCCTTTAATTTTCTTTCTTTTTTTTCTCTTTAGCCAACTTAACAGGACATGCAGAGAAGGTGGGAATTGAAAATTTTGAGCTGCTGAAGGTCCTAGGAACTGGAGGTAAATTTCAGGTTTATTCCCCCTTTTCAAGAACAACAAGTATTTGTTATTCTGTGACATAGGATTGATATCCTTCCTGCGGAAGTCATTGACAGTTTTAGAAGCATGAGGAGTCCAGTAAGAAAACTAAAGAATCTCTTTTTTCTGGTTCAGTCCCAGTGTGTGAGATGCCTGAACAACACTAAAACCAGAGTTTCAGGCTAACCTGAGCTACATAAAGCAAGACCTTATCCTACAAACAAGCCAAAAACAAAGAAAGCCCTTTTAGTCTTATGTGTTGGGAATATAAATTAGTCTTTAGAAGTCACTAGCATATATGGAGAGCTTATTATATGCCATCTTATAAAGTGATTTATGTTGATTGATTTATTCAGTCTTCTTTTAAGACTGTTGTAATTCAGGGCACATCACTGTGATAATGAACAAAGTCAGGATCCTTCCCTTCATTAACCCAACACTTAAGAGTCTGGCTAATTGAAGCCGAGTTCTATTTATGTTCCATCGTGTATGTAAGATTGAAGTGATCTGTATTCATTAACATTTTAGAAAGCTTTTCCAAGTCATAAATTAAAAACAGTCATAGAGAAGAATATACACTGTACAATTATATAATGGAGACAGTTATATTAATGCCTACTTGTATTCACATAGAGAAAAACCTCTGGGATGTATCCTCAAACAGTAGCATGATATGATGTCTTGGTGATCTTGTATTTTGGGCTTTATTGTTTCCTGTGTCTTTGAAAATTCTCTGCCTCAACTTCTGTTGTTAAGAAGTTGGACTGGTCTTGCAGGAGGTATAGCATCATATCCTGCACTCAGAAGAGCCTATGTGCAGTGTCATGCTCCACTGTCACTCTTCTCTAGTTAAGTCACAAAGTAAGACATGGGCCCTGCCAGTCTTGTAGCTGGTTTTATCAGTGAGTGCCTGTCCTGGCCCTGGAATATCCTGCTCTGCAGTTACCACACAGTTACCAGAGCCAGAAGAGCTTGCTATTCTCATTCTTCTCTATCAAGTCCTAATGAGGAAGCCTCTTTTTCTGTCATTAGCAGACTGTGCCCACTTCCATGGAAGGAGAAGCAAGGGCTTAGGGAACAGACCAGTTTTCTTTCCCACTAAAGTTTAACTTCACAGTTTAAGGAGCATCTGCCTTTTTAGATTTTTCGGGTCTGGTAGGAAGTGGCTACTATAGCTCTCCAGCAGGAGAGAAGTCTGGGCTTCTAGCATCGCTTACCTTGCCTAGCATCACATACATTTGTGTTCACATGACAGTAGTGAGCTTTTGTGCTTTGTGTCCTGTCATACAAAGATTTGTTTTATAGCCATCTGTAGTTTTTTAGCATACAGCATAGAGCCACCTTTTATAAGTACCAACGAACAAGCCTGATGGTGTATTCTTACCAGCTAAGGCTATGATGCCAGAAAAGGTCTTAGTGTTAAATCAACTTGAGGATTTTCTAGTGCCCACTCCCCTCTGGATTATTTATAGAAGTATATTTTTCAGGAACAAGATTAGCCTCACCTTATCTAATTCACAAGAAAGAATGCTTTTGAAATATCAAAGTAATGTTGGTTATTCCTACCTTTGTTTCCTGTTTCCAAGGTAGTACACTACCTATCTACTCAAAGGGGAAACAAGTCCAGACCATGGTGAATGGCTCCCTTAAAAATAGTGTTTGCAACATATTGTCAAAAACTTTTCAGGTCAAGTTCTGCTCACAGAGTGTGTTGTCTTTTCCTAGCTTTTCTTTTTGGTGACAGCTTAATTGAGATACAGTGCATGTGTCATGCAGTCTACCCGTTTGAAGTGTGCAGTGTATGCTTCCAGTGTATTTAGAGCTGCCCAGCCATAGCCATGATGAGTTCCAGAACTTTTTGATTCAACCTCAAGAAGAAACCTCAAGTACTTTAGCTGTTACTTTGTAAACTTACCATCCACTCTGTCCTAACAACCACCAAGTTATTCTGGACATTTCTTTCTTTTTTTTTTTGACATTTCTTATAAGTGGATTCATATAATATGTGGATTTTGATGACTGGCTTCTTTGATACAGTGTAGTGTTCTCTGGGTTAATGAATGTTGTAGCAGATAGCACCTCTTTCCCTTTATGACCAAGGAGTGCATTGTATGACTATACCACATTTTCCTCATCTGTTCATCAGCTGATGACAGTGAAGGTTAGCTTTACTTGTCAGCTTGATAAAACCTGTAATACCCTGGAATGGCAGTCTGACAGTGCGTTATCTGCATTAGATGGGTGGGCATGTCTGTTGCCTTAAGTTAATTGGTGTGGGAAGACCAAGCCCAGTGTGTGTGTGGCACCATTCCCTAGTAGAGGTTCCTGAACTGTTTTGAAAATGGAGAAATTGAAATAAGTAAGCAAAAGCATGCATCTGTCGCTCTCTGCTCTTGACTGTGGATGCGATGGGACTGGCTGTTGCTCATTCCTGCTCGACTGCCCTACAATGATAGACTGTGACTGTAAACTGTAATTAACCCTCTTCCTCCCATGTTGCTTTTTGTTAAGACGTTTTATCACAGCAGCAGGAGTGAGACTAGGACAGTGACATTGGAGTTGTTCTCACTTCCTATCTGAGATTGGAAACCTGAGTGCTGTGAGCATCAGACGCAGGGTTTCATGTCAACCTAGGTTTCCGTTTCTTGAGTATATTCCTAGGAGCAAACTGCTAGTTTAAATAGCAAGTCTGTAAGTTCTTGAGGAGCTGCTAGACTGTTCCCAAAATGTCTGCGCCATTTATATTCTTGTGAACAGTATGGAAGGGTTCGAGGGTTTCCACATCCTTGTCAACATTTGTTATCTAATTTTTATCATTCTATTACATGTAAAATCACTTAGATTAATCTTCAAGGAAAAAATAATAGTTTTTGTTGTCTGGCCAAATGAGTAAGTTATATTAGTGGATTTATTGTCCATTTTCAGATGTTTTTTACAAAAAGTCATGCATAATTTCAAATATTTTGCATAACAATTATATAAATTCCCTCCTATATTTTCTCCAGTTTTAAGTTGTCTTTGATGTGACAGTAATTTTGTTTGTTTACTGAAGGTTGGGTTTAACAATTCATATATCAGTTAGAAATCTGAGGCAGAAAAATATTACAAGTATAAATTTCACTTTTTGTCCATGTTGTTTGCAGATTTTGTAGCATCTTGGTGTTTTGAAGAGCTTCTCAGCTAAACCAGTTTTTCCACCAGAGCAGTTGGGAGCTTGCTTTCCCATTTCGGGAGAAGGGAAGTTAGATAGTGCCACAGGATATTCCTCACCTGGTACTTAGCCCACTTGTTTGACTCACAACCAAGGAAACACACAGGAAACATGTTGGGACTCTCAGATGTCTGTGGCCTCTGTCTGTTCATGTGTAGTTTATGTTTACCTGCTCATTTGCTGACACCTGACCCAGCCTTGTGTTCTTGGCATCCCAGGATAAACCCAATGTGGCCTTTTTTAAATGGAAGGCACAGTCTGATGCTGGGGCAGCATATGCTACAGGAATTTAATAGCCCTGGCACACTTTTTCCTTGTTTATTGCTATTTCAGGAAAATGGGCTTTGGATAAATACTTCCCCATCATTGCCTTTATTTTAGTTGCAGGAAGACTAAGGTATTTCATAAGTGAAATCTACTTATAATACCTAATACAAAGATCTTAAAATAGAAATTTTTTCTTAACTATTGTTTTTTATCATCATCATCTGCTTTGGGTTTTTTTGTTTGTTTTTGTTTGGTTGTTTTTGTTTTTGTAGGCCTTGCTGGTCTGGAACTTGCCATGTAGACCTGACTGACCTCAAACTCATAGATACCCATTTACTTCCTCTCTGAGAACTAAGATGGAAATTTTAAAAATACTCATATTAAAATACTGAAGCCTCATTAATCTAACACTGCTAGCTCTCTAGCCTCTCTGCATTCATTTACTGCTCCTTATCACTCTAAGGTGATAAGTTTTATAGAGCTTCATATGTTTACAAAATTAAATAATTAAAGTAGATTTTCTTTTGGGTAACATGAACATGAATGCTGTTTGGTTTAAACTGAGTGTTATATTTTGATTATTAACTCATTACTAGAAAACACCGTTATTCCATAAAAGCTGTCTCAGTCTGTATTCACCATTGGTATTCATGTCTCTCTTGTGGCTCTGACTAGTTACCTGGCAAACACTGGTAGAGGGAGGAAGGGTTTATTTTACTTAATAGTTTCATGGTGACAGGGTATAGTGGTGGTCATAGTGGCAGAAGCATGACACAGGCAACTTGCTCACATCTCTGTGGGTCAGGAAGTAGGGCACACGTGCTTTGCCAGATGCTTAGGTGAGACTATAATCCTCAGGGTCCATCCCCCAGGGATTCGTGTTTTTCAGCTAGACTTCATCTTCTAATGGTCCCAAGCCTTACAAAACAGTATCATAACTTGGGGACCAGGTGGGGAAACTGCATATTTAAATTGAAGTACCATCTAGTCAGGTACTTTTAAGTTAAGTCTTAAGCCCTAACTGTCTGAGAGATTCAGGGATCCACCTTCAAAGCACACTAAGGAACATGCTAACTAACGTATGGGACAGTTAGAACAATGGCAGGAGAATGTCGTTAGTAAACTTTGAAGCTTATTAAAACAATACAGTGAGAACCATTCTTTTCTTGCCTAAATTACAAGATAATTAATTCCTTACAACTTTTAGACTTATGGCAAACTGTATTATTTAAAGAATAAAACAGTACTACTCCATGCTGTACTTGACACAGAACACACTGCATTATAACTTTCTCAGGCATAGAGTTCTTAGGTTTCAGATAAATTTAATTTAATTCATTAGCACTATTTCAAACAGAGCAACTTACAAACAAACAGCATCTACAAATAGTTCTTACTCTATATGGTTCTTAGGAAAAATGTACTTATTCTTCAAGCTGTCACATGACTATCATAAAGATGAGATATCCATCACTATTTGGTGAAATTTCATGCTAGTCTTTTC